AATAAAGGGTGCCTGGGTGGCTCAGTCAGTTGGTTAAGCTTCTGTCTTCAGCTCAGGTCTTGATTTCAGGGTCCTGGGATCGAGCCCCACATCAGGCTCCCTGCTCAGCAGGGACTCTGCTTCTTCCTCTGCCCCTCACCCTGCCTGAGCTCTCTCTCTCAAATAAATAAAAAATAAATAAATCTTTTTTAACAACAGATTTTATTTATTTATTTGACAGAGAGAGACACAACGAGAGAGGGAACACAAGCAGGGGGAGTGGGAGAGGGAGAAGCAGGCTTCCCGCAGAGCAGGGAGCCCGATGCGGGGCTCCATGCCAGGAACCTGGGATCATGCCCTGAGCCAAAGGCAGACGCTTAACGACTGAGCCACCCAGGCGCCCCAATAAATAAATCTTAAAAAAAAAAAAGATGGGCAATAAGAGTTGGCGAACAAGTGGAGAAATTGTAGGAGAGTTCCTCCCACATTGCTTGTGGGAATGTGAAACAGTGTGGCACTTTGGGAAAACTCTGGCATTTCCTCAGAATGATAAACATAGAGTTACCACCTGACCCAGCAATTTCGCTCCTAAGTATATACCCAGGAGAATTGAAAACAGCCTTTGCTCTCCACACAAAAACTTGTACATGAATGCATGCAGAATAGCCAAAAAGTGGAAATAACTCAAGTATCCATCAGCAGATGAAGGGATAAACAACATATGGTATATCCACATGGTGGGATCTTATTCAGCTGTAAAAAAAGGAATGGAATACTGACACATGCTATGACACAGATGAACCTTAAAAATAGGATGTTAAGTTCAAGAACCAGACCCCAAAGGCCATCTAGTGTATGGCTCCATTTATTTTATTTCATTTTTTAAAAGATTTTATTTATGGGCGCCTGGGTGGCTCAGTTGGTTAAGCATCTGCCTTTGGCTCAGGTCATGATCCCAGGGTCCTGGGATCAAGTCCCACATCAGGCTCCTGCTCGGCAGGGAGTCTGCTTCTCCCTCTGACCCTCTTCCCTCTCATGCTCTGTATCTCTCATTCTCTCTCTCTCTCTCTCTCAAATAAATAAATAAAATTTATTTGAGAGAGAGAGAGAGCACCAGAGAGCACAAGCAGGGGAAATGGGAGAGAGAGAAGCAGGCTCCACGCTGAGCAGGGAGCCCGACGCGGGGCTCAATCCCAGGACCCTGGGATCATGACCTGAGCCGAAGGCAGATGCTTAACGACTGAGCCCCCCAGGCGCCCCTCTATGATTCCATTTATATGAAATGTTCAGAACAGGCAAATCTAGAGATTAAAAAGTAGATTTGAGGGGCGCCTCAAGGAAAAGACCCATAGCACAGTTAGAAAGATTATCCTTGGCAAGAAGGCTCACCACCTCTTCAGTGTGAGAAATTTTGGAGTGGGGATAGATGCACAGTGGATGGCTCTAACTTGCTATGTGCCAGGCATTTTTCGAATTGCTTTACATACATTTTCGTTTAAAACCCCAAAACAACCCAGTGAGGTGGGGCCTATTTTGATCCCCGTCTTACAGGGGGGAAACCTGAAACAGAGAGGTTAAAGAAACTTGCCTGAAGTCACCCAGCTGGAGTTAAGTGTCAGAGCTGGTATTTCAACCCAGATAGCTGGGCTCCAGGGTCTAGCACTTCACTTCTACCCTGCACCGTTGTCTCCCGAGCTTCTGTTCTTCACAGAACAGGCAAGGCTGCCCGCGGAGAGTGTGACAAGGGCTGAGAGTGCGTTGGGGGCTTGCGGGCAGAAAAGGTGAGAAAACTACCATGAAGAATGTGAGGGAGTCAACAGCTGAATAGGCAAGGCTGTTGGGAGTAGTAGAGGTCTAGCGGAGGCAGGTTCTCCAGCCTCACTGACATAGCCCCTTTCACTGGATTCTAGCCCTTTCAATTGTTCGATTCCTGCAGGTCTGTGGTGGGAGTCTTCCTATGTGGTCCTCAGACCCTGGCAAAGAGCCTGAGCAAACGCTGTCACCAATACTCCAGTCTGGATCCCAGGAAGGTTCAATTCTACTTCAACAAAGAAAACTTCTGAACTACAAGACCGAGGATGCTACTCTGCATTTTAGTCTCTCCTCTGAATCTCCCAACAACTTACTTGGTCTAATCAAGTTTGGGCAGCCCTTAAAGGACAGTAACATGCCTCTGTTTCTGACTCCCTGGCCTCTCTTTTTTGATTGGGTTCAACTTGGATGTCACTGATCTTCACGAGGCCACGATAATTGCAAAGGCCATGGATCCTTTCTTGGGAAAAGAACTGTAAATCCTTCTGAAATGCCATGACTGCAACAAGGCCTGAGAGCCGAGGTGGTTGACAGCTAAACGACTTGACCCCAGGTGATATTGTTGATTCCAAGTGTTACTTGGAATCTCCCAGCCTTCGGTCATATTTTCCCCTCCCTCTCACCTTCAAAGAAGATTTGTAAATAGGGTGATTTTTTTTTAAATAAAAAATTTATTGAAGAATTAATGACAAAACATAATCATAAGCATAAATAATAAAACAATGAACATAAAATCACCAAGAACCCCATCCCTATATAACACTATGTACATTCTTACTGTTATTTAAAACATGGTCTTATCCAGTGTGAATAGCAATTTCTGCTTTACTTATTTTTGCTTGTCAAGAAATGAAGGATTTTCCTCTTTGCTTAATGAATGAATCTTATTACTTAATCTAGGTTCCCCATTTGGGAAAGAAAATCTTGAAACGATGCTAATTATAATTGAAATTATAATTGAAAGTCAGATATATTATCATTAGCTTACATGGTTCTGTTGGAAATAACTGCAAAAACTCGAACTCCATCTTAAGATGACAGTCAACAGGGGCTCTTTAATCATCATTTTTACTAAGGTGGTTTACGAACGTTTCATTTTTAAAAAAGATAATTTAAAACTTTTATACCATTTTTCCGGCTCTTCCCTATTTATTAAGGAATCATTCACCTAATGACATAAGCAAAATGTCTTATCTCCTATTAAAATGCTTTTTATTTCTCCCATCCACCTGGCTCTGGGATGTTAGTAATCACAGTGATCAGTAGAAGCGAAGAAGACGGGGGGGGGGCCTTAAAAAAGAGGGGAAAAAAACCCATACTTCATTGTGCCCCAAAACAAGTCAACTGATTAAATTTGTAAGAATGTTTCTACTAAATTAGCATTATAGCACCTATTTCTCTACCATTAAGTGACCAAAAATGAATAGATGGTTGTTTCTAATTATCCAAAAACCTGAATGACTTGAAGGATTGGTAAGATCCATTTTCAGTAACTAGTCTGAACAAAACAAAGGTGTCATGAACTCACGGCAGCTAATTGTGTTTCATTTAATTGGACATCAGAAAAAATAGTAATGGATGTTTCTGTAGAACAGATTGGAATATCCCTGCTGTTGCTGATTTCCTGGATTTCAACAATCTAAATGAAATTTAATAAGGCTTTAGGAAAATGCACAATGGAACCTGGATGATTTGGCTCCTCTTAGACAACTGCTGACCACATAATTTGATCTTCGTTGATTTTGATTTGGAATCTTAGTGTTCCTTGAAACTTACATAATGAGTTCCTAATGAGAAAGGCTTCACTTTCAGTTTTCAATGTCTAACTATATCAATACTTTGAGATAGGACTACTGCTAAAATCAACATGTTAAGGCCTAGAATATTCATGGAAGTAGGCAGAAAAGGTAATGATAATAAATCCTATGTATAATCAACATCCAAGCCTGAATTGGGAATGAGCAGGATACCCAGAAAGCTCCTCAGCTGTTTTGGGCGTTTTTCTTCCTAGGTTGTAATATGAAGTAGCTTATTCAGCGAATTTTTTTCGTAGTAAATGTTTACATATCAGAATAGAAAATCCCTCAATTTCAATGTCTCTCATAAAGTTGATTATCATTGCATTATTTTGCTTGACATGTAAGCAATATGCTATTACATTCTCTAAGCCTATGGCAGGCTTTTAATTCACTTGACCATAATCCTCACCCAGAGGGTAGGATTCTGAGAATATAAATAGGTTCAAAGAATAGTTCCAGTGGAACTTTACTAATTATTAAGGCATCTCTTAACCTCTTGAGGTTGGCCTGATGGGAGAGAAATCATGTTCCTCCTTAATGCCACTATGAGAGAGAGAATACTAGGCAGGAGGAGCCATAGGTCAGAGCGAGTGGCACTAATTACTGTCACATCTATCTGTAAGGAAGCAGACAGGGGCAGGCCTAATGGGCAATCTGACTGCTTGTGATCTACATTTGGTCCTCTTAAAATAAATGAGAAGAATGTAGAAGTTTTAGGGTTTTCTATGTTTTAATTTCCCAGAATAAATTTGGTTACGGGGGAAGGCTATAAGTTAGTGATTACCTAGAAGGCAGAATGAAATGTATTTTGTTCCTTTGATTTCTATTTAGTTTTTACTTCATCTTGAACATGTGAAAAGTTAGTGGCTTCTTTAACTTTTAAGGTTGACTACCAAGACTGCAGAGTTTTAGAACAGACAGGTAAATGTTAACAGTCTCCTGTGTTGCTGACACACTTGAACCAGTGCCAATACAACATTTTTGTCTTAGCTCTGAAATATGCATGTGAATAAACCTATTGATAAAAAAAAAAAGTGCATTTTGATCATTAGCTTTTCCTAAACCAAATACACTGCTCTGCTAGGCTCTTTGCTTTGTTGGCCTTCTGACCATTTAATAGCTCTAAGCAGGGGCTATTTTCTCCCAGTAAACTCAGAAGTTCTAGCAAGTTCTCAAAGGGCAAATCTTATTATTCCTGCTGGAAGCGAACAAAGCAAAAACTAAGTTCCAGAAAACATTGCTTCTGAGAAATTCTCAAATATCACCAAGAAGAATAAGTGGTTAACTTAAAGGAAAAACAGAACTATGGCAATATAACATTAAAGTACAATACTGCGGTAAGGGTTGAAAACACATCTAAGGTTTCACCCTTGGTGTTCAGCCTTTTAAAAGCAAAAAGGTGTATATCAATTTGCAGTATACTAAAATTGTGTTCAAAGTTTATTTCAAGTCACAGAAAATATACAAACTAAGACAACAGAATGAACTGATTTTGTTCTGAGAGAAGGTGATGGGAATCCTCCACCTGGCACCAATTTGAGTCATTCAAGGGTTAGGATGCAGAAGTCATCTTTTTGTAACATTTCAACAAAGTTATGGAATTAATTTCCCGATTTGTTGCCAGGTATTTTTGAAAACCTGTAAGGAAAAGTTGGGAGAAAGCCATTAGAAATGGAGACAAAATTCTCTTTCCCAAACATCAGGAGAAAAAAATTTCAAAGCAGGGGAGGGAGGCTATGCAAAAGAGCAAATCACCAGGGAGAGATTCCTAAGGTGTCTGCCTCCAGGATCCCCAAAGTAATCACCTCTTATAGCAAGGTTTCTCAACCTCAGCATTACTGACATTTGGAGACAGATAACTCTTTGTTATGCGGAGGAGGGGAGATATCCTACGATTATAGGATGTTTAAGAAGCATCTCTGGTCTCTACCCACTGAATGCCAGTAGTATACCATATCCCGAAAGCTGTGACAATGAAAAATGTCTCCAGACATTTCCAAATGTCCTACAGGGAGCAAAACTGCCTCTGGTCGAGAACCACTGATCTAACGGTAATAGTATAGAGGCCTATCACAAGTGATAGCAGAAATGGATCACAACTAGCAAGGTACAGGATGAACAGAGAGCCAACATTTTGGCTATAGTATGCACGGGTAACAGCAGATACACATTAAAACCTTGCCCACGTAAAACTGCATAGAACTACCTGCACACAGCACATCTCACTCACATGAATGTAGGTTTAAAAAATGGTGAAAACGGAATGTAGGTTTAAAAAATGGTGAAAATGGAATAAGGTCTGTAGTCTAGTTAACAGTAATGTACCAATGTCAGTTTCCTGGTTTTGTACTACAAACCAAAAAGGTATTGCATAACAGCTTCTCAAGATGTTATCATTGGGGGAAGTCAGGGGGAGGGTACACGAGGCTCTTTGTACTATTTTTCCAACCTTCTGTGAATTTATTTCAAAATAAAATGTAAAACAAACAAAAACCTTTGCCCTGTGGTGTATGTGCAAGGCTTTGAAATATCTTATAAGCTAGAATATGTAATGAAAGAACTTTCAGAAACATTTCTGTCTCCACTATCTAAAAACAGTAATTTCCCCATATTGTAGGGAATACCTTCTCTGACATAAATAAATCAGAAAAAGTAAAAGAGGGGAACAGTTTTTAATCTATTCCTCTGAATATAATAGTCTATACTTTTACTAAAAAAAAATGGCCTTGGGCATCTGGACTAAAAAGGTAAAGTAGTGGTCATACCAAAAGTCTGGCTAGCTATCCATCTATGATAGCTTCTCATTATAGTTCAGTCATTTAAAGTCTAAATACAGGGATGCCTGGGTGGCTCAGTCAGTTAAGTGTCTGCCTTTAGCTTAGGTCATGCTCCCAGGGTCCTGGGATCGAGCCCCTCATTGGGCTCCCTGCTCAGCGGGGAGCCTGCAGCTCCACCTGCTTGTGCTCTCCCCCACCCCCTGTGAAATAAATAAGTAAAATAAAATAAATTAAGAAAACAAGTCTAAATACAGATATGAAGCATATTTCCAGTTTAGATGTTTTAATAACTTTGCAAATATGGATTAAAACACAATATATTTGGTAAAGACTGCTAAATAGTGTAAATGAGTTCACTATTATATGATAATATATGGATGAAATTATAATACAGATGCGGTAACAAGTAGAAATTCAAAATGTGATATTCCAGCTGACATTGGGACAATGTGAATTTTAAGCTGTTTTTAGAAAACAGAATTATTGGGGTGCTTGGCTGGCTCAGTTGGTAGAGCATATGACTCTTGATCTCAGCATTGTAAGTTGAGCCCCAAGTTGGGTACAGAGATTATTTAAAACTAAAAGAATCTTTAAAGAAAAAAGAAAACATTTATTTTTCTAAAGGATTATTTATTTATTTATTTGACAGCGAGAATGAGAGTGTGCGCACAAGCAGGGGGAGAAGCAGGCTCCCCACTGAGCAAGTAGCCCAACACGGGGCTCAATCCCAGGACCCTGAGATCATGATCTCAGCTGAAGGCAGATGCTTAACTGACTGAGCCACCCAGGCGCCCCAAGAAAACAATTATTTATGAAATACAAGATGTTGGAGAAAATGGTTTTTAAAAGAAATGCCAATACATGGAGTCAGATGGTTCCATGATTATGATCCGTTTTATCTGACAGATAAGGAAGAAAAAGAAAGGGCAGCAGTATATAATAACCTCTAAAATGTAAAGGGACTGATGGTGATGGTGGACGGTCACTACCCTGAAATATGTGCTCTAATAGTTTAACATCAAAATAGTTAATATTAAATAAATACCGGAAACCAAAATATTTATACATTTTATTGAAATGCTTTGTATTTTCTCCATTTTGATGGGACAGTTGGAGTAAAATAACACAACTGATCCTGGAAGGATGCACAACAAACTACATTTAGAGGTTGTCCAGGGAAGGAGATTAAGGAAGCAGAGCTTCTTACCCCGACTTTTCTCCATTTCTGTATTTGATTCATTTTGTAAAAGTGATCATGTTACTTTTGCCATTAGGAAAGAAAGGTTAAAAAAGATTACAACCAACTCAACAACTGAACAGATACCCTGCTGCCTTTCCCTATCCTGACAGAGGCTGACCTAATGAAGGGTGAAGAGTCTAGCCAAGAGGAGCGTGGGCCTCGGATAGTCTTTAGATCAGGAGAATGTTGTTGGTTAAGGCTGAAAGTATCTAATACCCCAAATGCACAAGGAGTTTGTTCGACTTAGGCAGGTTAAGTCTGCTCACCTTTCAAGGTGCTCCAGTGGATTTCTGTATTTGTTCCTTTAAGATCAGGATACTCTGCCTCTGCTCAGGAGGCAGCATGGCGATCTGGTCTGCAGTCAGCTGAAGAACCTGCATGATCAAAGCAGCCTGTGAAGAGAAAAGAAAGGGAATGAGTTTTAATGATGGCAGCTAAAAAACCACCACCAGCTTCTGTCCAAAAAGGAAGGATACCTCACACACTGAATACTGCAGGCAAAAAAACCCCATCCCAAACCAAATCAAACCAAAACCGGCTGGTGAGAAAAGGTACAATGAAAAGCTCAGGTACAATCATACCTAAGATTAGGAGACTCAAATCAAACAGACACCTGCATGAACCCAAAGTTCTTGCAGACTAACATGCTATCTGTGGACCTTGGGAAGTCTTTAGTTTGTAATTCTGTTTTAAAGACTTTTTATTTTATTTCTTTATTTGAGAGAGAGAGAGACAGAGTGTGAGCATGCACAAGAGCATGAGTGGGGGGAGGGGGGCAGAGGCAGAGGGAGAAACAGACTCTTCGCTGAGCAGGGAGCCCAAAGCTGATGTGGGGCTCAATCCCAGCAGGACCCTGAGATCATGACCTGAGCCGAACGCAGACGCCTGACCACTTAACCGACTGAGCCACCCAGGTGCCCCTTTAATCCCCTTTTAAAAGTCTCTCTTTTTCACAAGTTTTAGTCTTTCCATCAGATATGAGCTCCCCATGATGGTCAAATATAGAAATATATATACTCATGGGAAATCTGCTATTGTTTTTAGGGATAAAGCAGAAAGGGGAGGGGAAGAAAAGGGACTTAGAGCTTCAGGTCAATCTGGCCTGCACAAAAAACTGTTATTGGCTGATGAGTCTGAAATGTAAGATAAGCTGCCATTTACATACATCCATTTAAGAATTTTAAGATCAGGCCCACAGATATTCAGATAACAAGATCATAAAAACTTGTAAGAGTAAACATCACTTCCAAACGAATGCTAAAGACCCAGGACCTCCACATCGTAACCGAAAAGAGGAATCCAAAAGATGTATGCCTCTGGAGACAGACAGTATTGCTTACCTTCTCATGATCCTGTGGGGTAACTTGGTTCTGGCCAGGACTAAAGCCCCCAGGCTGACCTCCACCCTGAATGCTCGCCCCTTGCATGCCTGCTCCCTGCATGACTGGGACCTATGTGCACAAAGAGAGAGGAGGAGGAGAGTTTCCAGAACTTCTCATATAGTATTCAGAATCCAATAACAGCAATGTGGAAGATATGATCTGATTATGGATAGGAGTAAAAAAAAAAAGCAAATTAATGACTCTGAAGATCATTTCCTACTGTTAGCAATGGCAGGAGGCAGGGTTTAGCAAGAGATCAACTAGCGAGTTAGACACATTTGCTTACGGCAGCTCTAGCATCATCAACAAATATCACAGTACCATCAAATCAAGCAAAACCCAGCCGCATAAGCACAGAGAAAACTGAGAGCATCCTAGAAACTAAGGCTCAGTGGAAACAGAAATGAAAGCCAGCATATTCTAGAGATAATGTATGCTGGTCCACTGGGGAAGCTTCATTCACAGAGATACCGCCTACCTCTAGTTCAATCAGACATAGGCAGTTCGCCCCAAAAGGCCCTATCTCACAAGTAAGGCAGAGACGATCATTATGGCAGAGGCAGAAAGAAGATGGGAAGGCCTCTGGGAAAAAGACTGCTATTAGCCCAACATTTGCTTTTTATAACTTTCCAGAGAGAATATGCAGCAGATGCTTTCTGCTAGATACAGACCAAGAAATAGGACTGACTCAAGTTAAAAGAACAAAATGCAGTTATATCATACTTATTTAAGATCCTCAATGAGTTTGATCTTTGGGAAGACCACCAGAACCCAAAGAAAAGGCCTCAGAGCACCAAGAATAACTGTTAAAGGTCCCTATGTTGTTATGTTCACACTCAGGCATTCACCCAGTTTAGGTACTCTTATGAAACAAACTGTGAATAAACTTAGTTACCTGCTTCCCCAGTAGATCAGAAGCAGCAAAGCATAAAAAGAAATGTGGATACACTGTTAGGAGCAGATACCATGACAGCAATGTGAAGAACCAGGCAACAGCCTGATGGTGAAGGAGACCAGAAACCAAACAGGAGATAACTGTACTTTCTATTATAGCATATACAATAATAGGCACATTCAATGATGACCTTGAGTAATCAAAAATGGCTAAAATCATTTTTCATTATCTTGTTTAAGAAGGGAAGGAAGCATAATACACTTCATTATCACTTTCTGTTCTTTATCAATACTGAATCCAGAGACCGGTCTGAACCTTAATGTTATGTTACAGATCTGAAACATCTAGGAGAACAACATTTTTGAAGCTGCACGGTTAATACTAATTTGACGTATTATCATGAGCTAACCATTCAATAATGGCCATTTAAAGTTTCCGGGAGTGCCAACACGTTCTAGGCAGACAAGTCACAATATAGGTGACCACACATCCAAGGTTTGCCTAAGATAGATAGTCCCAGTTTATGCTTTTGCCCCAGAGTAACTATTTAACAGCACTCTCACTCCAAACATGTCCCTGTTTGGATAAGTCATATAATCACCCTAGTAATAATAAGCCTTTTAACTAACAAATTTCCAACTAGGTGAACTGGAGTTAATTTTAAAATCTGACTTAAAATTATGAATTAGGGATATACTGTAAAGTTAAAAAAAAAAACAAGGCACAGAACAGTGAAAGAAAGGAAAGACAGATACATTTTTTTCTAATATCTTCCTCTTTGTTAGAAAGATACACCCAAAATTGAATAAAAGCAATGATCTATAGGGGATGGGGGTCACAGGGGAGACGGATACAGGGGAGGAAGCAAGGGTCTCACTATCTCTCTTATATATGAGTAAACATATTAATTTAAACAATATAAAAAAGGTTTGAAGATAAAATCTTTATTTTTTTCCACTCAGATCCAATAGGCTTTATACAATCTACTAATGAAAACTATATAAACCTAATATTACAGAGTAATGAGTTCAAGCATTAGCAGAGACAAAACAGCAACACATTATCCAGAAATGGTCTTCCAAACATTATTTTCAATGTCTTTCTCCACAAAACTACTGACAGAATTATATAACGACATCATGTAGTTATTTGTTGTCAGTCTCCCCAGCTGGAATGCAAGCTCCACGGGAGCAGGGACTTTGTTTTGTTCACACTGCTATATCCTCAGTACCTAGAGCTCTCTCTGGTACACAGTAGGTGCTCAATAAATATCTGTTGAATGACTGAATAAATGAATAAAAACCATTTCTATTATAAGGCTACTGATCCCAGAGGGCAGAATAAACATCAAGGCCCACAGACACATTTTTAAAAAGCACAATTTGAAAAAAGGAGAACAGTTTTCTTTTACACGTACCAGAAAACAACATATTCATATTTCCTATTAAAGAGGGGGAGGTAGACACAAACATACATATGCATGATGTGCAGATAACAGGATTGAGTGGTACACTGAAAAAAACAGGGGGTTCTACTCCTTGCTCTGTCACTTTTTAGTTGTGTGAATTTGGGTAAGCCACCTGAATTCTTGGATCTCAGTTTCCAAACCTATAAAATGAGAGAATTGGATGACGGACATGTTCCATTCCAGTGACACTCTCCCTCCCTCCCTCTCTCTCTCTCTCTCTCTCTCTCTCACACACACACAGGGGAGCAAGACACTTAGACATATGCAAGAGGGAAGAGAGACAGAAGAAGTACATAGAGGAAGGAGGGGCGAGAGGGAGACGAAGGGGCTAGCGCATACAAATTCAGGGAAGAGACACACATACCATCCCCCACAACCAACTGTGTGCGAAGGAGATGACAACACACAGATGATCAGAGATCGCCACGTAACACTTAGCTAGAGAGAGCCAAATAAGGAGAAAGAGGAGATAAGAATTCAGTTCCATAGGTTTTAAGGTGAACATTAGTAAAAACTGCCTTTCATATTCCACTGTTCACTTAGGCTACACAATGAAAGTAAACTAAAATAGGTTTCTGCAAACCTAAGATTATCGAAATGACTGCTAATAGCTCTTCCTATGCTCTAATGCAGTTCTTACAGCTGTATGCTAGAATCGCTTGGGGGAGGCTTTTCAAATTATCCATGCCTAGATTCTAGCGATACACACTCTGTCTCCTAAATCTGCAGGGGCTTTGCTCTGAATGGAAGAACTCCTTAAACTGTGGGACAAGGTTGCTACAATCCTGGTGGCCAGAAAATAACCACCTTAAGGGACAGAGAAACTAGAAGAAGGGAGTTTTCTAATCTTCCTGTTCTAACAAGCTGAGAAATAGCCCAAATCAGAAAGCAGTCATAGTCAGGCTCAACGGTCAATTCCGGAACAGATCACCATTTCATGTAGAAGCAAGAAGTGAGTATCGCACATACCTGTCTGGATCCCTGGGGGCCAACTGCCCCCATGTTAATTGGACTGGGACCCTGGATTCCACTAGGCATAGGGCCTCTAGGGCCAGGGACCGGGCCCCTTGTATCCATACTTCTGGCCTCTATCCCTCTGACTTCCATCGCACGGGCCTCCATCGCGCGGGCCTCCATCGCACGGGCCTCCATCGCGCGGGCCTCCATCGCGCGGGCTTCCATTGCACGGGCCTCCAATCCTCTGGCATCTAATCCTCTAGCCTCCATGGCTCGTGCCTCCATCCCTCGTGCATCTATGCCTCGGGGATCTCTTCCGCCTGTAAAGTTGTAAGAAAACCATTGTGTAGCTACTCATCTTTACCGCAAAAAGAAACAATAATCAAAGAAAGAAATCTATTCCTCCAGTCACGTCTCCCCCCAACTACAGGGGACCCTTGAACAAGGCGAGGATTGGAGCACTCCCCCAAAACTTAACTACTAGTAGCCTACTGCTGACTGGAAGCCTTACCAAAAACATAAACAGTTGATGGACACCTGTTTTGTATGCTATGTGTATTATGTTCTGCATTCTTACAATAAAGTAAGCTAAAGAAAAGAGAATGTTATTAAGAAAATCGTTAAGAAAGAGAAAATACACTTACAGTACTGCACTATATTTATATATATAAAAAAAACCATGTATAAGTGGACCTGCGCAGTTCAAACGTGTTATTCAATGGTCAACTGTACACGAGACCGCTTTCCCCTTCCCAGTTTTACAGGTCTGCAGATAAATCTTAAAAATGTTTGCCAATCCCATTGCCCCAGCCTTCTTTACCCCAGATTAGAACCTAAGACAGTTGGGTTTATTATCAGCCCACAACTACCAGTCGGCCTTGTGATGTGGTCTCCCCTTACCTCTGCCATCCAAGGGTGGACCCCTCTGATCTAGCATGGGTCCTCTTGGCTCCGCCATTAGAGGTCTGGGCTCAGCTAATGGCCCTCCCCTCAACTCATGTGGGGGTGGGCCACGGCTGTCATGGCCTGGGACATGGTGCATGGGTGGACCCTGATGAGGTGGTCCCAGGTAACCTCTAGAGATGGAGAAAAATGTTACATTTTAAAACAGAACAAAACAACAAAAAAAGAGTCAACCAGAAGATCAGTAAGTAAAAAAATCAAAAAACTGATGCAAACATCAGCCTATAAATGCTAAGAGAACAAACACCAAACAGGTCCAAAAAGAAAAAAAAAAGCTATGGAGATATAAACGCACATATTCTAGAATTTCATATTTGCTCAGGGCATTCATAATTAAGGAGGAGGTAATGGATATCCATTGTATAGAACGAGTATGTAGTACAGTGCTTAAGAACGTGGATTACTCTATGGGTTCAAATCTAGGCTTTATCCCTTATTAGCTATGTGATCTTAGGCACATTTACTTAACTTCTCTATGCCCCGGTTTCTTCATCTGTAAAATAGGACTGATAATAGTATCAATCTCACAGGGCTGTTGTGTGGATTTAATGAGATGATCTAAGTAAAGTACTCACAGCAGAGTCAGAGGCATGATCCCCATTCATATCAATCATCATCATCTTATCATTATTGCTACTATTGATATTGCTACTACCGAGAAGCAACAGAAGTTTTTCCCGTTTGGATATGTGCTAGAATTTCCAATTTCTAAAGACTCGGGTAGCCATGGTTCATTCAAAATGACATACTCAACAGATATGGTTCTGTCCAAGGAGAAGTGCATCCTTAGTCTTGGACAGCGGCCATGAATACTTATTTATCTGCTGAAGTAGGCAAACAGGTACAGAAAGACGGTGTTCTCAGACCAAGGGAAAGTTTGGATTCCTGCAGTCTTTTCCTTCTATGTAAGCGCTTACCTAGGCTCTACCTCTCCAGTTACAGAAAGTAAAGTGCCTCCACGCGGGTCATTTGGAGCGTCTCCCAATAAACCTCGAGGAGTTGGGACGTTGGCAGGCAAGGGCCCACGCTGCATAGCGGCTCTGGGGTCCTGCATCGGCACTGACAGGGAAACAAACAGGGAGTTACTGTTGTGAAGGACACAGAAGGAAACAAGAAATGACTCTATATACCACTGACAACATAATTCAGACACCTGAGAGCGGGTGAAACCTCACCACGGCAGACTCCTCTTGCAGCTCAAGAACAGAAGCAGGGTGTAGGCAGCATCTATGCCATGTCAGAGGTATGGATGGAATTATATAAAAAACAAAGTGGGGAGCAACCTGCCAAGGACTAGCACTGCAACCTGAAGAAACTTATGCTCCTGGTTTTCCTTATAATCAATCTGAGTTCAAGGACCAGAGTCACAAAAGAGAGGTAGGGTCTTGGCATATGTGAACACTGCCATGGCTCTGCAAGAACCTGCTGTCTCCTTACAGACTGCTATTCCATCCAAGCCTCCTGACACCAGTAGGGAGGGAGTACAGCCTCGGACAGATGCCCATATCATCCATGTTCTCTGCCCTGTGTGAAGAGGTCAATCTTAGGCTTGTGGCCCCAACAGGAAAAAATTTAAAAACAAAAGCCCAAAACACTACCCTTTTGGGTTCCGAACGTGAGGATGACTGCCAAGCAGCCCTTGTCCTCTCAACGTCCCACCCTGAACACAAGCAAAAGGAAACCCGCAGATACAATGGGTACCTTGAACTCGCTCAATTGATGCAGGCCCGGCGGGTCCCACAGGCGAGTGCTGTAGGGTTCCTAGGTGAGCAGTAAGTTCAAAAGGAGAAAGAGCAGACACTTAAAATAGCTTGCACGCATGCGCGCGCGCACGCACACACACACACACACACACACACACACACACACACACACACACACACAATCATACACATACAGATGGTGGAGATTTACACATGTAAATTAAAAAGCCAAGAGTTCAGGAGCCTGACCCAGGCTACAAAATCTTCCTATAAGCAGCTGCTTTGGGATCTGAAACTGTTCTGCTGTAATGAGATTGCCTCCTAAGGTGAAACCGGTGGGCCCCTGATTTTATTCAGCCACTCTCCATTTTCACCTCTGCTACTATGAGTCCACCTAAATCTCCTTATACCATTACAAGAAAAGAAACAAAACATAAAAAGTATGGTTCTGAACCTCTAGTTAGGCAAAGAACATAAACATAGTTTCATAAGCAAAACATGAAAAAGATTGTACTGAATCTGGAATGCAAGATTTATTCTGAAGAGGCCCATAACAGAAGTGGACCGTACTATTTTTTGCCATATTTTAAAGCACAAAAATCTCTGCGGGAAATGCAGCGAATGACCTTTAGACAAAGAAAGAGAATATCACTCCTCAAAAAATACTCCACTGCTACGAGTCCCTGGTGATAACCAAACACCATGACAACAGCAGACAGACTAATGAGATGACAAGGGCACCAACACTACACAGAGGTGGCAGAAGGCAAGAAGTGTCTTCTTAAACTAATCTCACTATCTCCTTTTACCATTATAAAGGTGCGTAAGTATGGCTTCCAGGAAAAGAAAGAAAACTGGGTACAAGTGGAAAGATTCTTGCTTCCTCTGCTGGGTACTGAACAAAAACTATAAAAGAAAACTCATCTCACTTTATCTCTTCGAGAAGACACACCTCATACACCTTCAGAACTCAAGTCATTTCCCTTTGCTAACTTTTGACCCAGAGAACTACAGCAGGAAAGAAGAGGTCTTGTGGAAATATATATTAAACGGCTGAAGTTTGATTGATTGATGGCTTGGGAAGAAGAAAAATATGACTGGAACCCCAATGCCTTCTCCCTAATGCAGAAATACTGTGGGTGCACACACCATCTACTGAGAGTGGTCAAGGGCGTGGGGGCACAACAGCACAAAAGCACAGGCTGCTTAGATGAGGCATTTGGTCAAGAGCTTGTCCCACTGTCAACCATCTGACCAGATGATCCATTCTGTCACTTCAGCAACCAACCCTAATGGACAAACCGTAGACGAGGAATATAGTACACAGGCTCTACCTTAATATTTTGCTTCTAAAAAATGGGTTTCACTTATAGGCCATGTGCTAAGAAGAAGTAAGTTAAGTTTCTCTGTGCTGCCCAAAGCAGTTCTTTCTCATCACGATGACAACATGAATAAGAATGGAAGACACTGAGGAGTGTTTTCGGAAGTTAACAGAGGCGGTGTGGATTTTCAGAAAGAGGAAGATTTTAGTCAGAGACTTCAGAATCTTGCTCTGCCACTTACTAGCTGGAAGAGATGAGTGCCCCAAGTCCTGTCCACGTTACTCAGCAGTATTTACTTACCGTGTGCCCTTGAATAAGTAACTTAAAACTCTGAGCTTCCATCTCTTTATCTGAATCCTGAGGTGCTGCCCCCTAACTCACACAGTTGTCTATGAAAATTAAAGTGCCTGGCCTATAGTACGCCCTCAGTTTTACTGTTAGTTGCTTCTGTTTTCTCACTCTCTCTCCTCCTAACATTGTTTTCAACCAAACGACTCCATTTTCTGTTTCTTCAAACTCCAGCAACAGAGGGAAATAATTTGGAGATTCTGGAGTGGCTCTTGCTGTGGTAACCAGTGTTACTGCCACAGTACAACATACCCTTACCAAGTAGGCTTCACAGATCTCTGATCCCCTCCCAGTTTTCTCTGTGGTTTAGATCTAGGCTTCTACATGTTACATGCTCATTATTAAAGCTCCTTACTCAGTCAACAAATATCCACAAGGGTGAGAGAGAACATGTCAGTAGTGTCATTAGGCTATTATGAAAAGGTGATATAAATTAAACAGAAACAAAGGATCCATCTGCTTTGATTCTTGTAGAGCTGGGCTCTGAGTCACTAGATGGAAAGTCTAGACTAGCGCTGTCCCCAACAGAATATTCTGCAATGAGGGAAATATTCTATACCTGCCATTGTCCAGTATGTGGTGCCACAACCACATGTGGCCATCGAGCACTTGGAATGTGGCTAGTGTGATGAGAAACTGAATTTTAAGTTCTACCTAATTTCAATTAATTTAATATTCGAATAGCCACATGTGGTTAGTGGCTGCCGTATTAAGACAGTGCAGATAAATACAACATTTCCGAGTCCAGTCCACATTAATCAGATATTAATATTTATTTACCTTGTCCCCGTTCAATGGACACTGGTCCACTTCCTGGCATTCCAACCTGGGCTTGCATTCCTCCTAGAAGATAAAGGGAAGGAAAGAAAAACACAAATTAGGACAGTGTAGAAAAAAATTAGGACAGTGGCTGAGTTAACAAATTCCCTTCTTCTGCCTCCCAGGCAGAAAACTACAAAGAAAGATCATAGTCCACAATAGCCAAACTGTGGAAAGAGCCAAGATGCCCATCGACAGATGAATGGATAAAGAAGATGTGGTATATATACACAATGGAATATTATGCAGCCATCAAAAGGAATGAGATCTTGCCATTTGCAACGATGTGGATGGAACTGGAGAGTGTTATGCTGAGTGAAATAAGTCAATCAGAGAAAGACATGTATCACATGACCTCACTGATATGAGGAATTCTTAATCTCAGGAAACAAACTGAGTGTTACTGGAGTGGTTGGGGGTGGGAGGGATGGGGTGGCTGGGTGATAGACATTGGGGAGGGTATGTGCTACGGTGAGCGCTGTGAATTGTGCAAGACTGTTGAATCACAGATCTGTACTTCTGAAACAAATAACGCAACATATTTTAAGAAAAAAGAAAAAGAAGAAGATAACAGGAGAGGAAGAAAAGGGGAGTATGTCAGAGGGGGAGACAAACCATGAGAGATGATGGACTCTGAAAAACAAACTGAGGGTTCTAGAGGGGAGGGGGGGAGGGGGATGGGTTATCCTGGTGATGGGTATTGAGGAGGGCACGTTCTGCATGGAGCACTGGGTGTTATGAACAAACAATGAATCATGGAACACTGCACCAAAAACTAATGATGTAATATATGGTGATTAACATAACAATAAAAAATTAAAAAAAAAAAGAAAGATCATAACTATCACTAAACAATGCAGTTATACAGAAGATAAAGTTTGTTAGTAAACTCTAGGCTTCAGTGACAGAAAAGTGAGTTAAATGAGAATACTTAGTCTCACTGGTCACTAAAACCTTGGCAGAATTTCTGTGATATAGGAGAATGATGGCACTTGCCCACAAAACTCCTCTCAGAGGAGGCAATACTGTTCACAGGGTATTTTGTAAATTTGTGGGTTTTAGTTGTGAAAAGATTTATGGGGCATGGCTGGCATTTAATGAGAAGCCAACAGGGATACCAGATGCCTTGCAATGTCTGAGATAGTCCTCCAAAATCCAGAATTATCTTGTCTTGCAAAATTTTCAAATGTCTTGGTGAATGTTAACACAAAGGAAAATCTGTTTACAGTCATCTGAACTTAGAACCTAAGTCTGCCGTATTTGTAAACAAAAAAGCTCTTTGCCCTATTTACAGCTGTACACATGTATATACTGAATTTTCCAGAAATACAATTACTGAGTCAATTCCAGGTACTGCATTTTGTTTTAAGAATTTTACGAAGTTTTCACCATTTGAGAAAATCACAACACTAATGTCAACAGTCCCTCTGGTATTTGAGTTGCCAAAACATCATACCTGTATTTGTCTGCATCTGTAGCTTTTACACCAATGAGATAGGTGCAAGCATCTGACTGCTACCTTTTGGTTTCTTGTGTAGTTGTGCCTGAACACATGCATATCAAAAATATTCTTTACTATAGGTTACTTTCCTTTTAACTTCTTTATATTATAGTTAGGGCATTATATTTTTTGGGGGAACTCATGTTCAGTAGGTTATATCTGTGCATTTCATTTCAGGATGTAAAAAGTCACTACAAAATAAAAAGAGGCCACAGGGTCTAATAGGGTTGAGAACCACTGCTCTACCCTAACCAGTTGGGATTGGAGGACTGCTATACAAAGAATAATTATGTACCACAAGTCCTTGTCTCGTCCTTTCTACATAGCAATAATTCTCTTTTCTTCAAAGGAAATATATATGCTGTAAGTAGGGAGAAAAGACAAGATGAACTGTTTGCTGTTCATTAATACTTAACTAAAAGATCAAGTACACATCACATTCTTTTTTTAAGATTTTATTTATTTCAGAGAGAGTGAGCGTGCACGAACGGTGGGGAGGGGCAGAGGGAGAGAGAGAGAGAGGCAGACTCCCTGCTGAGCAGGGAGCCCCATGCAGGGCTCGTGGGGCTCAATCCCAGGACCCTGAAATCATGACCTGAGCTGAAGGCACACGCTAAACCAACTGAGCCACCCAGGCGCCCCCACATCATATTCTCTTATTTCATTTAATATGCCAGGCACCAAAGAGCCATGGATTAAGAACCCGTGCTAGCCCCACCCCTACTACTAAGTAACTGATTTTGAACAAGTGATTTGATAAAGTTAACATTTGCCCATGCTTACTCATCTGTAAAGTGAATGAGTTGGTCTAAACCAGTGGTTCTCAGAATGTGCTGCTCAGACCAGAAGTGTCAGTACCACCAAAGAATTGTTAGAACTGCAAATTCCAGGGCCCTACCTCGGACTTGCTGAATTAGAAAGTCTGGTGGTGGGGACCAGCATCTGCGCTTTAATAAGCTAATCAGGTGATTCTACTGTACATTAGAGTTTGAGAACCACAGGTCTACATAATTTGAAAGGTCTCTTCTAACCACAAACCACTCTCTGATTTATTCAGACCATTCACTAAAACAGTACAAAGATTTAGGATCTGAGGAAAGCAGTGGCAGAAGGATTTAAGGGCATAATTTCTCATATTATACACTATCACATGATGGCACTTTTATTTGTATGGGGCTAGCTTCCCGGAAGTGGAATTGGTGGGTCAAAGTGTACCTGAATTTTAAATGTGAGACTTTCTTAAAAGGCTGAAACACTTCACATTTCCACTGGCAATTTATGATCCCACTTTCCCCACCAATAGTGTCATCTCTCTTTGAGACTTTGGTTAGTCTGATGGGTTTAAGTAAAGTGATATATTGTAATTTAATTTGCAATCCCATGACTACAAATGCATTTGTTTTTGATGCCATTTGGATTTGCTCTTCTATTAAGTGCCTACTCATTTTCTTGCTGCCTTTTCTACTAGGTTGTTTCCCCTTCTCACCAACTGTCAATGGAGCTTTGTACAGGGTATTTCAAAAATCTGAGTGATATTTTAATAACTTCAGAAATAAAAATGCTACAAACTCACAAAAAATACCACTTGAAAATTCAGTAATTTAAGTTCCTTTCCCATTTACTTTCAACTTCTGTATTTATTGATTTCCTCTTTTTGGTCTGTTTCTTTAAAAAAATTATTTTCCTAATTCTTTAAAACTAGTACTTAGGGATCCTTTATTCTTTAATAACACAGGCATTTGAAGATATTCATTTTAAGTACTGCCTTCACTATTTCCCATAATTTTTTGTATAAGGCACACTACTTTTTGTTGTCTTTTGGGTAATTTATAAATCTTTTTATTTTCTCTTTAATTCAAGGATTACTTAGTGTATGTTCCTTATTTTTCCAAGTAAAGGTTATTTTCAGTAACTTATCACTGTAAATTTTATTACAATAAAATTACTTCTAATTTTATTGGCTTATAATAAGAGAATGTGGCCTGTAAAATCTCTACTTTTTAAACTTGTTTTTATTTTATGGTCAAGTACGTGTTCTTTTTTTTTACTGTTCCATGGTCATTTGGGGGCAAAAGTGTATTCTTCAGTCAAAAGACATAAATCTCCCATAATAAATCGTGCTTATTGGTTCCACTACTTTATTCCTCAATATCTTTACTTATTTGTCTATTAGTTACAAAGGTACTCAAAGTGTGGTCCACAGACAACGCTGATCCACACACTGTATGTTAACAATTCAGGACAAGTTAAGTACAGAAATGGAGAGCAGACACTTAGAAATTTTTACAGCAATTTGACACTCCTGTCACATTCAAGTGCATGATCAGGGCACTTCTGTCACTGAACAGGATACAGACGACTTTGGGTGTTTTTCAACTCATGTTATGAGTTGCCCATATCATGGGTTGCATACTTGTCATGTGTAGTAGGGCCACCTTTCAACTCGTGATATTTTAAGGTAAGTTAGGCATCCATAACTCAAAAATGTATAAAATACAGAATCCGTCTCTTTCATTGAAAGATATTTACCCTATAGATAAATGAAAATCATGAGTTTGCTTAAATTTCTTTTAAAAGCCCTTCCTCTAGGGGTGCTGGGTGGCTCAGTTGTCAAGCATCTGCCGTCAGCTCACATCATGATCCCAGGGTCCTAGGATCGAGCCCCGCATCGGGCTCCCTGCTTGGCGGGAAGCCTGCTTCTCCCTCTCCCACCCCCCCTGCTTGTGTTCCTGCTCTCACTATCTCTCTCTCTGTCAACTAAATAAAATCTTAAAAAAATAAAATAAAATAAAATAAAATCCCTTCCTCTATTCCTTGTCAACTTGCTCTGTAGACCAGTTTCTCTACAAAACAGAACAATTTAGATTCAATTATGCTCTATGAGTAGTGTTGTAGTCAATCTAACCCAGATTAGATAAATTAACAAGAGGCAAATATGTTGCATAAAAAACTTTAAATATGGATATATATCATGTGTTCATATAGCAGTTTCATAATAGGGAACCACTATTTCACTCATAACTTTTTTAGTTATGATTGCTGAATGATAAAAAGCTACAGCATAATAGCAATACTCAGTAATAATTTCTATATACACACTTTCAATCAAAATATACAGTTTTAAAAATTTTTTCCTTTTGTTGTTTGGTCTGATTATATTTAGTGAAATGCAATTTCATATCTGTTAAATATAATAACAAATGTGACTCTGTATTTTGTGTCTGTTTTTTTTTTTTTTTTTTAATGTGCCTTTTAACCTAATCTAAGTCTCTGGCTTTTAGTGGGAAAATTCAGTCCATTCACATTTAGAATAACGACTGTATGAGATTTTATTCCTTCCTCCTTACTCTATGTTTATTATTACTTCACAATGTTGTTTTCTTTTCCCTCTATTTGCTGGCTTTGTTGGCTAGTTTCCATTCACTCCATTTCCCCCTCATTAATTTGGAAGTTTTACCATACTTTTCCATTTTGCGGTCCTTTTCCCTGCTCTCTGTATATAAGAGATCAACTATTTCCTCCACCTAGGATATATGCTTCCTAGCTGTGTATTAATTTTATATAAAGATCTCATTACCACATAATAATTTGGTGACATTATAACATTTGCTACAACAAAATTTCAGCAAAATACCAAAATGGTGAAGACTGTAAATGAAACATACCTCCAGGAGCTAAGGAACCAGGACCAGGTCCTGTTACAGCTGCTGGTATCTGCCCTGGAGCTGGAACTCCAGCCTGCATAGAAGCTTGCATCAGAGGAGGTGCACCATTGACATGCATTCCACCCTAACCAAAAGAAAAAACAGAGTATGTATATGCCTCTGGACAATACACATGATGAGCCTGGTTATATAGAACACAATTAAGATTGGACCATATTCTAAAAGCAGAGACTGACAAGTCTGATCTGTGTTGTGAGGCCATATGTGGCACCTATGGTTGACTTCAAGTTTTTTACCTCTCCCAATCTGAATGGTAAAAAATGGTAGATTACTGTTCTTTCTGTTTATGTTTACCTTATTTTGAGGTCGAACACTTTTCTTATGAAAAATTCCAGATATATAAATAGCACAGAAAATAAAATAAATATACAGTTTAGGAAATAAATATATTACATATATTTGAAATCTGCCTTATGGTCTTCCCCAATTGCATCCCGTGTCCCCTTAAGACAACCACTTAAGAATTTTTACAGACGTTTTGAAATTGTATGTAAATCATTATGTACTAAACATATCTGCAACTCATTCAACATGTTTTTGGGATATGTGCAAACACACACATCCCATATTTTGGGAAGGCTTCCACAGTCACTTATTTTCACTTTTCTAACTTTTGAGTTATCTGTGTTAATACCATGTATCCTAGTTCATCTTTACTACTACATGGAATTAGGTTTTTCAAAGTCATTCATGGTGACCTGTGTAATTTATTTAACTGTTATAGAGTATTTCACTGAATAAATATACATTTTCCCCATTCTTCCACTGATTTACATATAGGATGGTTCAATGTTTCACTATTATAATGTGGCAATAAACATTCTTGAACATGACTAAGAACTCTTAACCAGCTTGTTGTCCGTCATTTGTGTGGCAAATAGTTTTTCCCAATTTGTCATTTGTCTTTGGGGTTTATTTCTTTTTCTCTATACAGAAATTTTTCGGTTTTCAAATGTACTGATTTCTTATGGCTTCAGTTTTATGTCATTCTTGGCAAGCAAGCTTTACTTTTTACCACTGGTAAAGAGATAGTATGAGTGCCAACCTCATACAATTAGAGTCTAAGTACTAAATGAGATAATGGATATAGAATAACAAAGTGCCAACCATAGTACCACACATGCACATAAATATCAAATTAGCCTATATAAAAGGACACACAGGAAGGATCTCTTTGTTTCACAAACTTGGCACACACGCCATGTACTCTGCAAACTGAAAATTGCTTTTATGTCCGGGAATTGAAATTATCGTCTTCAGCTCCTGACTGTTCTCTCAGTATCATCTTCCTAATGTGAAAATGGCATTCAAAACACGTAAAAGAAACATTAGTAGATAAAGCCCTACCAAAGACTGAGCCTGAGGGGCCTGAGGATTCTGCTGGTTCATTGACACAGTGGATCCTGAGCCAGGCCCAGCACTGTGGACTGGCTGAGGGTTGCCTGCAATCAGTGTTGGAATATTTGTCTGGCGATGCAGAATTTTCTAAAAAACGAAAAGACAAATCTGTGAGCTGTCTGTTTAACAAAGCAATCAGGCAGTTCCTACCCCACTCAAGGTTTCCCATGGCGTTTCCATAAAAGAATAAGCACTCACCAGGGCAATCTCTGGATCCACAATTCTCATCACTACCTGTGCTTGTAGCAAAGCATAAGCCAGCTGAGGGTTCTGAAGCAACATGTTCCGTGCTTCCTGGGGACTATTCTGGACACAGAGCTGAGAAGATAAATAGATTCATCATCAGGTTCAATACTTAGTACTTAGAAATTAACAGCGATTTAGAGCCATTCCCACCTGAGAAATATGATATTCAAGAAGCTTTTTAAGCTATCATCGGTTTTGGCATAGCACACAAAATTTTGGTCATGTCAGGCAAGAGAAGGAAGAGGCATTTCAAATACCATAATACCACCATTTAGGAGAAAAGCCACATTTGAATATCTACATCTGATATCTATGGGCCACAAAAAGCCAGATTGCATAGTTGTGTCTGTGTACAAAAAATGGAAAGCTCTTTGTACGAAATGTAAAATATGCTGTGCACATATGGCATATTGAAGGTGCAAAAAGTGGTAGTCAACAGGCACACCTTATATTTGAGCTCAGGGAATTATTTCCATTCACTTGATCAATTAACTCCTCGAAAATTTGATGTGATTTGATTTGTTCTTAACCTAATGCCTCCTCCCACCTTCATTTGTTTCATCAGCTCAAACATCTGCTCTGGTGGAAGACTGGCAACTGCTTTGCTAATGGACTCAGGGGCATCCTCAGGACTGATGGTCTCTCCATAAGGTGACTCAATGACAGGGGCACCAGTGCCAAGGCCTGATCGGGAAGAAAGTACAAAAAGTTAAGGAGGCAAAATTATGAGCTAAATCATTGCAAGTATTTACTTTCCAGGGCTGCTTCCTTTCCAGGACCCGTTGTAACTTTAAATTCTCTGGAACTGAGAAGTAAGTGATTTGCAAGTCTCTTATTTCTGCAGAGGAAAGTGATAAGAGTGTATTTTCTGCTCTCAGAAGAAAGCTAGGACTAGGATCACATAGGTGGACAATGTTAACCTGAATTAGGGATGAGGCATATCGATTTCCTCTGACAAGTCATTTCAGAAGCGAAACAACAGATAAAGATGCTAATTTTTAAAAGCAAAAGAATAGAAAAAGATGCTAATTTCAAAATGGAATTCCTGATCTGTTGCCTCGTGAAAGAAGCCAGAATGCCTTAGTAATCCCACCAATTACAGATCTGACAAACCGTTACAGCAGTGGTAAACTAATGACATAGGTAGTGCAACTAATGGCTTGGTGAGCCTGAATTCATCTTCAACTGTCAACCAACTCCTTCGCAACTGAAGGACTTCTAAAGTCAACTTTACCTTGTTTCTCAAAGATATACACTTCCCTAATGCAGGCGCCTAAAGTGGGTCAAGAAGCTACGAGGCTGACCATTTCAGCGACTGCTAAAACATATCACAAATGGAAAAATCTTCATTGTTACATCTTTACTAATTCACGTTGCATACAAATCAGGTTCATACTCACTCTTGAGCTCTTCTTTGTTCTTTTCACTGGCAGCATTGTCCACTCGGAGTGCTCTTCCGCTGAACTCACGCCCATTCAGGTTTCGCATGGCACTAAGTGCTGTCTCCTGGTCTTGGTATTCACAGAAGCCATAACCCTTTGGCTTTCCTGTCTCCCTATCATATACCAACCTGGAAGAGCAGAACCAAGTATCAGGCACAAATGTTACACACATATAGTGTTCCTGCTAACATGGCCATGTTCTAATGTGGTCCACTGTAAGACAAATAACGTTATCACTGACTGCTTCACTGAAATATTTTTTAAACATTTTTAAATGAAAAAAAGTATCTTTTAGTAAAAATAAATGTGAATTTTACGGTATGTGAATTATACCTGAATGAAGCTGTTACAAACAGAAGGATGCACGTGAAAGTCACCAGTAAAAACCTCGCTATTATTACTAAGGGCCAAATTTGTGATCTTAAAGAAAACCCCAAGTAGTCAAAGGAGAATCTCACCTGAAACTAACAACAGGTCCAACCTCAGAAAAGATGTCCTTTAATTGCTCTTCGGTAGCCTCATATGGAATGTTCCCCACTATGAAAGAAAATAGACAACATATTAAAACTCTTGAGTTTGTAACCTATTTCCCTTGTGAGAAAATAAACAGAATCAGAACTTATATCATTGAAAATGTAACAACTACCTCAAAATAGTGTTCCTACAATTCCAGTTCCATGGTATTTCAGACATTTCAATCTTGTCTGCTGACTTTAATTACAAAACAAATAAACCACTAAGACTAAATATAAAAGGTGTAGGCACTTCTAAATATCAGTTCTCAGACTTATATGACAAGTGTTATGATTTTCCTTAACTTTGGTGAAAATAAATACTTTGGCACTGGTATTTACCTGAAGATCTGCAAGTCATACCGATAACTACTAAAAATACCAATGTATTTGGTATTTTAAAAATTGGCACATTATGTCCGTATTTCCACACATACACACATACTCAAGAATAACCATGAATGTAGTGGAGGATGTTTAAAAATTATTCCAATCTGTTTTGTTATGTCCTTTCCAAAAGGTGCTTTAAAATCACCACACATACCTAAAAGAAACTTATTTCATCTGAAAAGATTACTCAGAATAGACCTGATCCTCTTTAAAATTTCTTCGACGAGATCTTAATCATTCGTTCATTCATTCATTTACAATCCACTTTAAGACTCCAGGTGGCCGCTACCAGTATCGAACTAAAATGTTACGGTAAAAAGCAGAGAATCAAAGTCCTTATGAGAGGGCGGGAAGTGGACATACAGTTCTATACACTCAGCATATAATCTGTATTCTGGGATAGGGAGTGAGAAGTAGTACGGGACAGTTGCCATGCGCCCTCGATTCCAGACAATAATTGAAGCTCATAAAAGGAGAAACGCATAGAAGCTGAACGCTAGTTTAACTTCCTCAGCCACATCATGGAAAGGCTTTGAGACCTCAGGGGAAGGGAGCATCACTTTGCCCGCGAGTCCACTAGATTGGCCGCCCCAAAGGATAGGCAGGTAGAGCTGCAAGCCCGACCCATCACCAGCTCCTGCAACAATTCAAGAGGTGCAGGGGGCATTCCTTGCTGCTCCCTGTCTCTTTCTGTCCCTCCCCGATGCTTGGCTCCACGAATTCGTCTCACCGAACACCGAACGCAGAGAACGATCCACCGCAGGGTCTCTCACAGTCAAACCCGCCATCGCTCTCTTCCGGCAGCTTCCGGTGCGCCAGAGCACACTTCCGTACGGCGCGTGAGCTCTGCGCTAAACACGCTTCTGCACGGCGCGTAAGCCGGAAGCATCTGGGCGGGGCGTACACATGGCCCCTCCCCTGCCGTCATTACGTTAGCAGCCGTCACACGCTCGGTCGCCAAGAGCTAACCCCTCCGGGCTGGGCTGCGGCCGGAAGAGAACTCCGTTCCGACCTAGGGTAGTGCGGCGACAGACTAACTTGCAGGATTTTAGTCTGTAGGATTCCTTATTATTCCATTTTTTCTTAGACCAACACGAGGAATCATCGATCACAATAAAGATGGCGGCAGCCGCTTTACCATGGTAACAGGGAGGTCATTCGCTAACAACCTTGGCTCTTTCATTTTAGTTCCGCCCTGTTGGGGAAGGGAAGTGCGTGGTCCCGCCCCAGCAGCGTGCCTGTTTGTAAAAGCTCGAGTGTACCAAGCAATATGAGAGAGAGTCGCGGCAGTCTAGGGAATGAGAGAATGCGGAGCGCTCAAATTCAAGTCGTCACCATAGCCGAGGAGATGGGGAGGTAAAGGGAGAACAGACCCGTGTCTGTTCTTGTGTAGCCCCTGGGCTCCATGCGTTTGGTGGTGAGGGAGCGAGCTGGCGGAGGGCGTCGCTACGGGGTTCTCAGAAAAGATCATTGACTGCTGGTACTTAAGCGGCTAAAGCATGATTTGAACTCAGATTGCTTTGGCTCGGAGACTGAATGTTTAACTGCTGTAGCTATTGCCTCCCAGTATAACAGGGAATATGAGTGACTCAACATATTTTATTACATTTTTGGAAAAGAACTTAGAGCATCTGACTTGGTGATCCTAGGTCGGTGGGCTTATAACAACGAACCACCCAAGAATAGGTCAAGGCATCTATAACCAGGGGCTTGTTGTGCTGTCATCAGTCATTTGTAGAGAATGGATTGTTGGTTCTCTTCATTAACCAACCCTACTCTACTGGTTATAAAAGAGGAGGTGTGTGCAGGGGATGTTTCCTAAGCTTTTGTATATTTGGGTTTCATTTATAGGCCCCGTGCTAGTGACTCCTGCCTCAGTGCCTGTCCCTCAGAGTCGTTTTCCTTCACTGCAGCACTCTTGGAGTGATACGTATCTTTAGCCTATAGGTTATAACAAAATGAAGACAGAAGATAGGGCGTCTGATGCTGTTGTTGTAGGTGTTATGACTGAACCTCAGTTCACATAACAACATAGGTGCAGTATGAAGAGGTGGGGGGAAAACTAGGAAAGATGCATTTCTACACAACTGGGACTATATTTAGAATAAGTGTTATTTGGGGGAATTGCACAGAAGAGAAAGGGTATGTTGTGGAGAATCAAAGAATTTGGGAAACCACAGTCAAGATTTGTGGGGCACTGGCAGAAAGTTTTGTGGAAAAGTCCCGAGTTCTTATTTAGTCTGGTTGATGATACTAAGAATCTTGGATAAGGTATAAATGAAGCAAGCAAAGACATTCAGGATGGTGAGAGCACAGAGGCTTGGCCGTAGAAGGTCAAACTTCCAAGGCTGTGGTAAGTACTACTTCATGTTTGATCTACATTTTAAGTTCCTCAAAGAGCCATGGAATAAAAGCCCTCATTGGTCTCCAGGGACTATCTGCAAAGGCAGCAACCCCTGTATATACATCATTGCATGAAGAAGATTCCAGATGGCACTGTAGCATTATCCATGTTTGGAGAAATTCTCAATGAGCAGCACCTGTAATAGCTAAGGAAACTTGGGGCTCTCAGAGAGCACCTGAATGCTGACACTGATCCTGGTCAGTATCTGGATGTAGGTTCCAATTGGCTTGCTTTCCAGAAAGAAACATCATTCCTAAGTTTTGCACTACTGCATTATCACACCTGTTCAGCAATATTTATACTTTGAGTATTTGAGGGTTCAGCTCTGAGGCTACAATATAGAGAATTGTGCAGTCCATCAAAACTGGTTATTCTGGTCTTCTCATTTTAGCATTTTCATTTCTTTTTTTTTTTTAAAGATTTTATTTATTTGAGAGGGAACAGGGGCAGAGGAAGAGGGACAAGCAGACTCCCCTCTGATCAGGGAGACTGATGTTGGGCCCGATCCCAGGACTCTGGGATCATGACCTGAGCCAAAGGCAGACAACCAACTGAGCCACCCAGGTGCCCCTCATTTTTTATTTCTTACCTGACTACTTTTATTCTCAATTCATGCTCAATGAATACATTTCCTGTATTTGTTTCCTAGAATCCAGAAGGTTCCCGATTGTTCACCTGCTCAAGGGCTGCCTTATGAGATACATTGCTTGGTAGCAGGCCAGGGAGTTAGTTGGTCAGCTGAATTGGAGGAAGATTTTCCTTGTTCTTGGCAATGGCATGGTGACCTCTTGCTACTGAATGAGGACTGCTTCCAAACCAAGCATTGGGGAAAACTGGGTAAGAGGAGGAAGTCTCTGAGTTTTTTCTCGAGACTCCAATCAGGCTTGTCTAAAACTTATGTCTTTTGGGGGGCTTGTTCTGTTTCAGAACCAGAACTCTGGGAGACTGTTGCAGTGACACGTGGAATCCAGGGTTTAGCAAAACGAAGGTGGATATCACTGTACCACACTTACACTCCAGCAGTGTGCTGCTGGGTGAACATGGCTGGACAGAACATGTGGATAATGGTATCAGGTTGGGGTTAACAGGGTGATAATGATTAAAAAGAGCTAGTATTTGTGAAGGGCTGTATAGATTACAAAGCTTTTCTACATAGATCTTCAGTCTCACAACATTTGGGAGATTGTTTTAGTGTGCTCTCTATTATAGTAAAGTATACATAACAAGATATACCATTTTAACCATTTTTAAGTGTATAGTTCAGTGGCTTTAAGTATATTCACATTGTGCAACCATCATCACTATCCATCTCCAGAACTTCTTTATTTTCCCAAACAGGAACTCCGTGTCCATTAAACATTAATCCCCCATTATTCCCTCCCACCAGCTCCTGGCAACCACGATGTTACTCTCTGTGTCTATGAATTTGACTACTTTAGGTACCTCACATAAGTGGAATCTTAACACTCTATTTTTACTTTTGTGACTGGTTTGTTTTGCTTAGCATAGTGCCTTCAAGTTTCATCTATGTTGTAGCGTGTGTTAGAATTTCCTTCCTTTGTAAGGCTGAATAATATTCCATTGTATGTACACATGAAAATTTGGTTAGCCACTCGTCTGTTAATGGTCACTTGGGTTGCTTCCACCTTTTGGCTATTGTGAATAATGTTGCTATGAACCTGGGAGTACAGATACCTGTTTGAGTTCCTGCTTTGAATTCTTTTGCGTAAAGTGTTCTTTACACAAAATTCTTTTCCAGAAGTGTAATTGCTAGATCATGTGGTAATTCTATGTATAATTTTTCGAGGAATCACCATACCTTTTCCACAGTGGCTGCATCATTTTACATTCCCATCAGCAGTGCACGGGGTTCCCATTTCATCCTTACCAACATTTGTTATTTCCTTTTTTATTTTTGGAATAATAGCCCCCCTAATGGGTGTGAAGTGGTATTCCATTGTGTTTGTTTAAATATTTTATTTATTTATTTGAGAGAGCAAGAGAGCACCAGCAGGGGGGAGGGACAGAGGGAGAGGGAGAAGCAGACTCCCTGCTGAACAGGGAGCCTGATGTTGGGCTTGATCCCAGGACCCTGATATCATGATCTGAGCCAAAGGCAGATGCCCAACCGAGCCACCGAGGCACCCCTCCATTGTGGTTTTGATTGGCATTTCACTACTATATTGGGAAACATACTGTTCTCCTCTCCTGGGTGCCTCCTTTACTTTCACGCAGAACACTTTACTTTTGACATTTCTGGGCACCAAATATGTGGAGATTTTTTTCCCACAACAAACAGTTCTCTGCAACACCAGCTGGGTGTCCTATAATTTAACTAAATTCTGACACCTGGAGATAGTGTCAGATCCTACAGGTTAAGGGTTCAATCCTCAAGACTGCCCCTACCCCACTTCAGATGCCAATTGTAAGTTTAGGTTGTCACCTGTGCTTCTCACTGATTGGCTATAACCTTGGGTTCATTCAGTTAATTTGCTACAGCAGCTCACAGACCTCAGGAAAACAGTTACTAACATTTACCAGTTTATTAAAGGATATGATAAAAGATACAGGTGAATAGCCAAATGAAGAGATATGTAAGGTGAGCTCTGGGAAGGTCCTGAGTGCAGGAGCTTCTGTCCTTTTGGAGTTGGGATGTGTCACCTGACTGGTACCTGGATGTGTTAACCTACCTGGAAGCTCTGTGAATCCCCTACCTATTTTTGGGATTTTTATGGAGGCTTTATCACTTAGGCAAGATCAGTCATTAACTCCATTTCCAGCCTCACTTCCCTCTCTGGAGCATGAAGGGTGGGGCTGAAAAATTCCAACATCTAATTATGGCTTAGTTATTTGGTGACCAGCCCCCATCTAGGAACCCACCCAGAGTTGCCTCATTAGGGCAAAAGATACTCCTAATGCTGTTATCACTTAGGAAATAACAAGGTATTTAGGAGCCCTGTATCAGGTACAGGGTTAAAGACCAAATATTAGAATAAGAGACACTCCTTGTGCTCTTATCACTTAGACATTATAAGGGTTTTGGGAGTTCTAAATGGGGAACCAGGTGCAGAGACCCATATATGTATTTTCTGTTATCTCATACCTAGTGACGAGTGAGGTTGAACATGTTTCCATGTGCTGTTGGCCTCTTGTATATCTTTTCTGGAGAAATGTCTATTTAAGTCCTTTTCAGTTTTTTAATGGGATTGTTTTTGTTTTAGGAGTCTTATTTTTATCCTGGATACTAATCCCTCGTCAGATGCATAACTTGCAAATATTTTTCCCATTCTGTGGGTAGTCTTTTCTCTGTTGACCGTGTCCTTTGATGCACAAAAGATTTTAATTTTGATGGATTCCAACTTATCTAATTTTTATTTGTTCCCTGTACATTTGGTGTTATAGCCAAGAAATCTTTGTCAAATCCAGTGTCATGAAACTTTTCTCCTATGTTTTCTAATAAGAGTTTCATAGGCTTAGCTCTTACATTTAGGTCTTTGATAATTTGAGATAATTTTTTTGAAAAGATTTTATTTATTTAAGAGAGAGCGTGAGTGCACAAGCAGGGGGAGGGGCAGAGGGAGAGGGAGAAGCCGACACCCTGCTGAGCAGGGAGCCTGACATGGGGCTCAATCCCCGGGTCCTGGGATCATGACCTGAGCCAAAGTCAGTTGCTTAACTGACTGAGCCACCTAGGCACCCCAAGATAATTTTTGTATATGGTTTAGGCAAGGTTCCAACTTTATCCTTTTGCATGTGGATATCCAGTTGTCCCAGCACCATTTGTTGGAAAGACTGCTTTTTCCCCCTCCAGTGAATGGTCTTGGCACCCTTATTGAAAATCATTTGAGGGCGTCTGGGTGGCTCAGTTGGTTAAGCGACTGCCTTCAGCTCAGGTCATGATCCTGGAGTCCTGGGATCGAGTCCCACATTGGGCTCCCTGCTTAGCAGGGAGTCTGCTTCTCCCTCTGACCCTCCCCCGTCTTGTGCTCTCTCTCTCTCTCTCTCTCAAATAAATAAATAAAATCTTTAAAAAAATCATTTGAACATAACTGTGAGGGTTTCTTTCTGGGCTATTTCATTGATCTGCATTCATTTACAGTTGATCCTTGAACAGTATCCCAACCCCTGCAGAGTCGAAAATCTGCATACAACTTTTGACTCCTGTATAACTTAACTACAAATAGCCTGCTGTTGACTGGAAGCCTTACTGAGAATATAAACAATTGATCAGCACATATTTTGTATTTATGTATTCTATTCTCATATTTAGGTAAGCTAAAGAAGAGAAAATGTTATTAAGAAAATTATAAGGAAGAGAAAATACATTTACAGTACTGTATTCATAAAACAAAATCTGGGGGCTCCTGGGTGGCTCAGTCAGTTAAGCGTCTGCCTTCAGCTCAGGTCATGATCTCAGGTCCTGGGATCGAGCCCCACATTGAGCTTCTGCTTGGCGAGCAGCCTTCTTCCTCTTCTCGCTCTGTCTGCCGCTCCCCCAGTTTGTTCTCTCTCTCTCTCCTCTCTCTCTCTCTCTCTGTCAAATAAATAAATAAATAAATCTTGAAAAAGAATAAACACAATCTCTATGTAGGTGGCCCTGCACAGTTCAAACCCATGTTGTTGAAGGATCAACTCTATTTTTCTCTGATCTTTATTTTTTCCTTCTTTCTACTAACTTTGGACTTTTTTTGGTTCTGTTAGGTGTAGGGCTAGACTGTTGGAGATTTTTCATATTGAGGTAGTCCTGTATTACTGTAAACTTCCCTCTTAAAACTGCTCGGTCTGTGTACCAAAGATTTTGAACCGTTGTGTTTCCATTTTCATTTGTCTCCATGTATGTTTGATTTCCTCTTTGATTTTGTAGTTGACCCATTGGTTGTTTAGTACCATGTTTAGCCTCCACATGTTTGTGTTTTTCCCTTTTTTTTTGGTAATTGTTTTCTAGTTTCATACCATTGTGGTCTGAAAAGATACTTGATATGATTTCAGTCTTCATAAATTTATTGAGACTTGTTTTGTTGCCTAACGTGATTTATGCTGGGGAATGTTCCATGTGCACTTGAATGTGTATTTTGCTCTTTTTGGATGGAATGTATGTATCTGTTAAGTCCAGCTGGTCTAGAGTGTTGTTCAAAGCCATGGTTTCCTTATTGATTTTCTCTCTGGGTGATCCATTCATGTATGTGGGCTGTTCCCTTCTCTTATTGAATTACTGTTAATGCTTCCCTTTAGGTCTGTTAATACTTGCTTTATATGTTTAGGTGCCCCTCTGTTGGGTACATATATATTTATAATTGTTATATCCTGTTGTTGAATTGATCCCTTTATCATGTAATGCTCTTTTTTGTCTCTTGTTATGGTCTTTGAAGTCTGTTTTGTCTTATATCAGTATTGCTACCCTAGCCTTTTTTTTTTTTTTGCCTCCGTTTATGTGGAATATCTTTTTCTATTCCTTCACTTTCAGTTTGTATGTATCTAGGTTTGAAGTGAGTCTCTTGTAGGCAGCATAGAGATGGGTTTGGGTTTTTTTATCCATTAATTCACCCTGTGTCTTTGATTGGAGCATTTAAGACCATTAACATTCAAAGTAATTATTGACAGGTGTGTACTTATCGCCATTTTTGTTAATTGTTCTCTGGTTGTGTTTATAGTTCTTTTTTCCTTTCATCTTCTCTTGTTCTGTTCACTTGTGATTTGTTGACTTTCTTTAGTGTTTTGCTTGAATTCCTTTCTCTTTACTTTTTGTGTATCTATTATATGTTTTTTGTTTATGGTTATTATGAGGTTCATATATAACATCCTATGTATATAGCAATCTATCTTAAGTTGATGGCCACAAGTTCAAACACATTCTAAAGACACTACATTTTTACTTCGCCCACTCCATATTGTATGTATTTGATGTCATATTTTACATCTTTTTATTTTGTGCATCCCTTAGCTAACTTTTGTAGATACAATTGTTTTTACTGCTTTTGTCTTTTAACCTTCATATGAGCTTTATAAGTGTTTGATTTACTACCTTTACTTGGTTTGCTTTTACCAGTGAATTTTTTTTCCTTTTATAATTTTCTTCCAGTTATGGCTTTCTCTCTTCCACTTCAAAAATTCCCTTTGACACTTCTTATAAGGCAGTTTTAGTGGTGATGTACTTTTATCTTTTGTTTCTGGGAAACTATCTCTCCTTCAATTCTGAATGATAACCTTGTGGGTTGAGTATTCTTGGTGGCAGCTATTTTCCTTTCAATGCTTTAAATATAACATGCCGCTCCTTTCTGGCCTACAGATTTTCTACTAATAAATCAGCTTATAGTGTTATGGGATTTTCTTTGTACATAACTATTTGCTTTTCTCTTGTTTTTAAAAGAGTCCCTTTATTTATTTATTTGAGAGAGAGAGAGGAAAGGGAAAGAGAAGGAGAGGGAGAATCCCGAGCAGACTCTATGCTGAGCACAGAGCCGACACGGGGCTCAATCTCACAACCCTGAGATCATGACCTGAGCTGACCGAGATCAAGAGGTGGATACCCAACCGACTGAGTCACCCAGGTGCCCCTAAGGAGTCTCCTCTTATTTTTAATTTTTTGACATTTTAATTATTATGTGTCTTGATGTGGACCTCCTTGGGTTCATCTTGTTTGGGGCTCTCTGAGCTTGCTGGACCTGGATGTCTTTTTCCTTCCCCAGGTTAGGGAAATTTTAGCTATTACTTTTTCAGATAAGTTTTCTGCCCCCTTCTCTCTGTCTTCTCCTTCTGGGACCTCTCTAATGTGAATGTTAGTATGCTTCATATTGTCTCAGAGGTCCCTTAACCTATCCTCATTTTTTAAAAAATCTTTTTCCTGGGGCGCCTGGGTGGCTCAGTTGGTTGGGCGACTGCCTTCGGCTCAGGTCATGATCCTGGAGTCTCGGGATCGAGTCCCGCATCAGGCTCCCTGCTCAGCGGGGAGTCTCCTTCTTCCTCTGACCTTCCCCACTCTCGTGCTCTCTCGCTCTCTCTCATTCTCTCTGATAAACAAAATCTTTTAAAAAAATAAAAATAAAAAATCTTTTTCCTTTTTGCTCTTCAGCTTGCATGCTTTCTGCTACCCTGTCTTCCAGATTGCTTGATTGTTTTTCTATATTTTTTAATCTGCTCGTGATTCTCTGTAGCATATTTTTTCTTTTTTTTAAAGATTTTATTTATTTATTTGACAGAGAGAGAGAGAGATAGTGAGAGCAGGAACACAAACAGGGGGAGTGGGAGAGGGAGAAGCAGGCCCCCGGCTGAGCAGGGAGCCTGATGCGGGGCTCGATCCCAGGACCCTGGGATCATGACCGGAGCTGAAGGCAGATGCTTAATGACTGAGCCACCCAGGTGACCCTCTCTAGCATATTTTTCACTTCAGTTATTTTATCCTTTAGCTCTAACTGGTTCTTTTTCATATTTTCTGTCTCTTTGTTGCTGTTTTCACTTAGTTCATCCACTCTTCTCTCAAGTCTGGTGAATATCTTTATGACCATTACTCTGAAGTCCTTATCAAATAGATTGCTGATCTCCATTTCATTTAGTTCTTTTTCTGAAGTTTTGTGTTATTCTTTTGTTGAGAACATATTCTTCTGTCTCCTCATTTTGTCTGAGTCTCTGTGTTTGTTTCTTTGAATTAGGTAGGTCAGCTATGTTTTCTGGTCCTGAAATTAGTGGCCTTATGAAGAAGGCATTTTATGGTGCCCAGTAGTGCAGGCTCCCTGGTCAACAGAACCAGCCACTGTGGGAGTGTCCCTTCTGTGGGTTCATATGTCCTCCTGTTGTGTCTGGTACACTCTGAGGGCGTGGCTGGCCCTCAGCCCTGTTGTCAGCAATGACTGGTGTGACTGCCGTGAGCATGCTGGTGGTGCTGGTAGGTGGAATTAGTTCCCGTTGTAGCTGGCTGAGAGGCTGGGCTATAGATGCTGGTGGCTTGCTCTTGGGTGCAACCGTCTCTTGGTACAGCTGGCTGAGTGGGCTGGCCACAGTGGCTGTGGGTATGCTGGTGGATGGGGCAGGAATCCTACCCTCCTCCCCAGGGCACAAGTCACTTTGTAGGGGTGCCTGTCCCAGGCTGGGCTGCCTGCCAGGCGTGGTAATGCAGTAGTTGCTTTGGAGGGGCTCCTGCCAGGGTGGGCTGGCAGGCAAAGACTGAGGCAGGGCAAGCAGTGCTGGCAAAGTGGATGGAGAGCATCAGAACTGGTGTCCACCAGCGCTGGGCCAGCTAGACTGAAGGAGGGCAAGAAAAATGGTGCTGCCCAACAGCACTCCCGTCCCTGGGGAAAGTTCCAGGAGATCCCTGTGTCTCCAGCACATACCTAAAATTAGTAAATCTCCTTCATGTATAACACAGGTGTTTTTCAAACTGCTGCTTCCGTGCTGAGTCTCAGACCGAGTGTAGAGGGTGCAGAGCGAAGTCTCAGTTTCCTAAAGCCCCGTGGTTCTCCTGGAGTCAAGCCCTGCTGATTTTCAAATCTTCCAGTTTTGAGTCCTGCTGATTTTCAAAGACAGACATAATGGAGGCTCTTCCTTTTGGTGTAGTTCCCCAGGGCTGGGGGTGCCCAGTCTGGGTCATGATCCCTCACTCCTCAAAGGAGAGGACCTCCATGCCTGTGATATACTTTCTGCTTGTGGGTCACCATGCCAGGCATTTGATTCCTGGCTATGTCTCTGCCCCTTCTACTCTTCTCAATATGGCCTTTTTTTTTTTTTTTTTTTTTTGGTAATGTCATTGGCTTTGGGAGGATCTGTTCTTCTTCCAGTGTTTAGGTAATTTTCAGAGTGCGTTGCACTACATGAAGTCATTGCCTTAGTGTGTCTTGGAGGAGGTGAGCCCAGGATCCTCCTACTCTGTCATCTTCCCTGTCTCCTCTAGTTGTTGTTGTTGTTGTTTTAAATGTCAGTGTGGGTCGGGGATGGAAGGCCTGGACAGAGCTTCCTAGTCTGCTAACTTGCAGATGTCCCCTAAAACAGAGTATCTATTTTATAAACAGGGATATCAAAGCTCAGATAGTGACTTGTACAAGGTTACACAGTTAATAAGGATAAAGGCTGGGATTTGACTGTATTTCTTTCTCCAGGTTTTGTGATTTTTTAAAAACTAAACTTTGTATTTTAGAATAATTTTAGATTTACCAGAAAGGTACAAAGATAGTACAGAGACTTCCCATATCCACCCACCCTCTGCCCTACACAGTTGTCCCTTTTATCAACATGTTAGTGTGCTCTATTTGTTACAATTAATGAACCAATATCGATATATTATTGTTAACTAAAGTCTATACTTTATTCAGATTTTCTTATTTTTAACCTATTTTTTTTTTCTATTCTAGGACCCAGTCTAGGATACCACATTACATTGTTGTCATGTCTCCTTTGGCTTCTGTTGACTGTGGCAGTTTTGCAGAATTTCTTTGTTTTGATGACCTTGACGGTATTGAGGAGTACCGCTCAGGTATTTTGTAGACTCTGCCTCAGTTGGAATTTGTCTGATGGCTTTTCTCATGATTAGACTGGGTTACGGGTGTTTGGGAGGAAGACCATTTTTATCATGTCATGTCAAGGCCTTGATCAGCTGGCCAAGGTAGTGTTTGCCAGGTTTCTGCTCTGTAAACTTATTTTTTCCACTTTATATACCACAGTTAAGAAGGGTTAGGGAAAATTAAGTTCTACTTCCTGGAGGGTGAGAAACTACATAAATTATTTACCATTCTTCTGTAGGAAGAATTATTTATTTTGTTTCTCAGATTGTTTCAGCTTTGGGGTGCCTGGGTGGCTCAGTCGGTTAAGCGTCTGCCTTCGGCTCAGGTCATGATCCCAGGGTCCTGGGATCGAGCCCCGCGTCAGGGAGCCTGCTTCTCCCTCTCCTCCCCACTCATGCTCTTTCTTTCTGTCTCTGTTACTATCTCTGTCTCTCTCTGTCAAATAAAATAAATAAAATCTTAAAAAAAAAAAGACTGACAAACTTAAAGATTATTTCAGCTTTGTCCACTGGAAGCTCTTTCATGTTGGTGCCCGTGTCCCTTTGGCATGCCCCCACTCTTGTGTTTTTTGTGCACTTTCCTTACTTTCTTACACTACAGGATGCCCATTTTGTATATTCCCTGCCTTAGCCGTTGGAGAATCAGTCATCCAAAGAGCTGTGGTTCCTTTTAGTAAATCAAGATGTCTTCCAGAATATGAAAGGTCTAATAGATTGTAGTAGCCAATAGAAACTCATTTGGAAGGGTGTATATGTAGGAGGTGGTTAACAAGACCAAAGAAGAAGAGAAAGCCGGAAGGGTCATAATCCAGTTTTCTGCTGAATGATAGTTTACGATTGGAGGTAATAGCATAAACTAAGAGTCAGAAACCTTAGGTTTAAATGCCAACTCTGACACTTTTTAGTTGTGTGTCTTTGAACCTCAATTTCCTCATCTGTAATATGGGTATAATTACTTCATGAAGTTGTTGGGATGAGGATTAACTAATAGCACATGCTCTGCCGGGCCTGGCACGCAGTAAGTATTCATATGTTCGCTATCATCACTAGTCTTGTTTCTGTACTCATCTGAACTAGCTACTATAATATCACGAACAACTATGAACCCTCACCATTTTTGTTTGATGCCTCCATTACTCAGCTTCCCTTGTATTTCTTTCCCTAGGAATCTTTTTGATGTGACCCAGTGTGTTCCTTTGAGATCATCGCCAAGATGCTGCAAGTGGCATCACTGCCGCGTACTGGAGAAGCACGTGAGCGTCTGTATGCAGATGACAGTTCTAGGGACCTTTGGCTTTAAGTAGCTATCTCTTCCCCAGACCCATATTCAGGTTCAGTCTACTCATCAATCTTTTTCTTCAAGACCATAAAAAAATCAGTGCTGGGTATTAAGGAGGGCATGTACTGCATGGAGCACTGGGTGTTATACGAAAACAATGGATCGTGGATCACCACATCAAAAAAAATAAAATAATTTGCAAGAAGCAAAAATAAAAAAAATCGTGTTGTTCAAATATGAAATATTAAAGTGAACTGAACATCAAATCTCTTTTTTTATAGAATTTATTTGAGAGAGAGAGTGCACGTGAGCAAGAGCGGGGGAGGGGGCGCAGAGGGAGAGAGAGAAGCAGACTCCTCGCTGAGCAGGGAGCCCGACATGGGGCTTGATCCCAGGACGCCGGGACTGTGACCTGAGCTGAAGGCAGACGCTTAACCTACTGAGCCACCCAGGCACCCCCCCAATCTCTTTTTGTTAATAGAATTAAAATTTTTTATTATCTTCCTAGCAAATTTAGTGTCCCCTTAACTGTTAGGGGAGCTCTTTAAAGTGATTCCTTTAAGAAGAAATTATCTTCCTTTTGATCATGTGATTCTTCTCCTAAAGAGTCTTCCTATTTCACTATGGGCGATGTCTAAAATCTTCCTCCTGAGTGTCAGCACCCCCTATAAGATTGCCATATTTTTTATACCTGTGAACCTTCTCCCATGATTTTCATGCATGACATGTTCTTTTCTCATCATTTTCTTCACTAGACTATGATTCAAATAACTTCAAACTCCACCCGGAGTAATACAAGGAGTGCTAATACCTCCCTATCTACTGCCTTTTGAACACTGCGGTTTATCCCCTAGAATGTACTGGCCCTTGATATGTGTATGGTATAAATACTCAAAGTGTTTAACATTTGATTATGTTCCTACATATCTTCTAAATATTTGTATTAATGCTGTCATCTTCCTAAAGAACATGTATGTAAATACCCCAGTCAAGATAGTACTAAGTATCTGCTTATTGATAAACAGGAGGAAGATAAACACTCTTTAATAGCTCTGGACTGTAGTCATCTACAAATTTGAGTAAGGGGACTTCTTAAATCTGAGGTAGTCGGTTTCACTGGGCCTTCTTTAGTCCCTTAGCTGTGATTATAGGAAATTAACTCCCGACTCAGTCCAAAGCTGGGTATTCCCTCAAGGAAATTGCTATTTCTGATTCTTAGAACTTGGAACCTTTTTTATGGTTGGCTACTTGGGGTCCATAATAATCATGCAGTGGCTAATCTTTCTGTAGAGATTGACTGTTTCACATTGCCATTCCCAGTTCATGCTGTGCTACCTTCCATGGCTGTGATTGGAATCCTCATAGCTGCTCTGAGAAAAAAATCCAGAGATAGATGGAGTAGCAGATTTGTGCCAAATATACTTTGAGAATAACAGGTGAGTGCCGGGGAGGTATATCTTTTGACAACTCGGAGTGACTTTCTACAATAAAGTCAGAAAATATCCTTCTCTCCAAAAACAAAACAAGATCAACTCTATTGCTTGCCTTCATCATCTCACTATACAAAGTACTGCTCTTATATTGATGATTTTACTCAGAATTTGAGTGATAACAATGTAGGAAGTTATTTGCATGAATTTGGGTGTGGGGAGGGGATGAGGTAGGAAGTCAAGGTCTGGAACCAATACAGAAAGATAATAAAGTGGTAGAAATAAAAGTATGGGACTTTGGGAATTTAAAACTTTAAAGATGTGTATTGCTTGCATTAAAATAAAAGGAAAATCATGTGAGAAATGTTAAGTAGAAGTGAAAACTCGTGAAAGATGAGTCATCCTCATTTCCTACAAAATGAAGTGCGGAAGAATTTCTTTTTCTTCTTTTCAGGATACGCAACTGGAAAAGAATTGGGAAAATCTAGGTAGTCATTTTTTCTTTTGCTTTGCTATGGCTGTGTCCCATTTGATAGTACTGCTGTTGTTCCTCATTTCATTTTTTTATGCCTCTTGTAGCTGAAACTGTTTCACATCACTGATAGGGTAATTCTGAAGAAGGCTGATTCATTTCCTGTTAAATGTTGTATCAGAACTGGGGGCATTTTGCATGTCCACCAAATTATAGGATCTTTCCTGGGGAAGAATCTCCATCTTCATGGGAGCAGGGAAATAGAGGCGAAGAAGCACTGTCATTATCCTTAGCAAATTATCAATGACCAGTGGAAATGTAAGGCTACCAGGGTTTCTGTGAGGAAATCTGGCAGTAGCCAAGCTAGAGTGGCAAATGTGGGTTCGATATGTAGAAACTCACTTTGTGGGGCGCCTGGGGAATTGGAGTGGTTAGACCTAAAAATTACAGGGTTTCTTTGTGATGTGATAAAAATATTTTGGGGTACCTGTGTGGCTCAGTCGGTTAAGTGTCTGCCTTTGGCTCAGGTCAGGATCCTGGGGTCCTGGGATTGAGCCCTGCATTGGGCTCCTTGCTCAGCAGGGAGCCTGCTTCTCCCTCTGCCTGCCACTCCCCCTGCTTGTGCTCTCTCTCTCTTGCTGTCTCTCTCCAACAAATAAATAAAATCTTTAAAAAAAAACCTCTTTGCTATTCTTCATCCAAGTGCATGCTCAACTATGGAAGACACAGATCCTGCATATTCAGCTGGTAAAATCCTATGCTGTCCATGTAGATCACATAGTCCTGGATCTGAACTGTATGAGCAGGGTAGCTACCTCTGTCCTTTAGTTGATGAGAGGAGGTAAATCCTGTGGCTCAAGGGTTCCATGTGTGAATGAGTTTCCATAGTTGATGCCTTTAACTTGTTATCTCAACCCAAGTTCTAATCCCCTTGTCTCCTAGTAATCTGCTTCAGTTCTTTTTTTTTTCTTTTACAAAAAAGAGTTTATTGTGATGTAATTCACATTTAAAGTATATAATTCAATTGCTTTTAGTATATTCACAGAATTGTGGAACTATCACCACCATCAATTTTAAAATATTTTTAAAATATTTTTTTATTCATTTATTTGACAGAGAGCACAAGTAGGCAGAATGGCAGGCAGAGGGAGAGGGAGAAGCAGGCCCTCCACCAAGCAGGGAGCCCGATGCAGGGCTCGATCCCAGGACCCTGGGATCATGACTTGAGCCAAAGGCAGATGTTTAACCGAATGAGCCACCCAGGCACCCCAAAATATTTTTATCACATCACAAAGAAACCCTGTAATTTTTAGGTCTAACCACGCCAGTTCCCCATTCCATCATGCCCTGGGTAACCAATAAAGCATATTTTGTCTTTGTATATTTGACTATTAAGGACATTTTATATAAATTGAATCATATAACATGTGGTTTTTTGTCACTGGCTTCTTTAACTGAATGAACATAATGACTTCAAGGTTCATTTATGTTGTAGCATGTATCAGTACTTCATTCCATATTTGTGTGTGAATGTGTGTGTGTGTGTATGTGTGTATAGCAGCTATTTTCAGATATTTCTACATAATTCACACAAACAATTCAGGGGTGCCTGGGTGGCTCTATCTCTAAAATAAATAAGTAAATCTTTAAAAAAAATAACAAACAGGAATGCCTGGGTGGCTCAGTCAGTTAAGCATCTGCCTTCAGCTCAGGTCATGATCCCAGGGTCCTGGAATCGAGCCCCACGTCAGATTCCTTGCTCGGCGGGGAGTCTGCTTCTCCCTCTGCCTGCCACTCCCCCTGCTTGTGCTCTCTCCCTGACAAATAAATAAAATCTTTAAAAAGAAATAATAAATAACTCAATAGTATTTACTGTAATCACAGGCACATACAATTATTAGTCATTTTAGATCATTTTAGAACTCCTGTTTTTAATTCTTTTAGGCATATACCTAGGAGTAGAATTGCTGGGTGTTACAGTAATTCTGTGTTTAATTTTTTAACAAAGTCTCACACTTTCCAAAGTGGCTGCACCATTTTACAGTCCCACAAACAGTATATATACAAGGGTTCCATTTTCTCTGTATCTTTGCCAATACTCGTTTGTTTTTTGTTTTTTTTTTAATTGTGGCCAGCCTAGTGGGTGTAAAGTGGTATCTCCTTGTGGATTTATTTTGCATTTCTCTAATAATGCTGTTGAACACCTTTCCATGTGCTTATTGGAGATATGTAAATCTTTGTTGGAAAATGTTTATTTAAGTCCTTTGCCCATTTGTTGATTGGGTTGTCATTTTTTTTTTTTTTTTTGAGAGAGAGAGTGTGAGCAGGGCGGGAGGGGCAGAGGGAGAGGGAGAGAGAGAATCTTAAGCAGGCTCCGCACTCGGCATGGAGCCTGATGCAGGGCTTGATCTCACAACCCCGAGTTCACGACCTGAGCCGAAATCAAGAGTTGGACGCTTAACTGACTAAGCCACCCAAGTGCCCCTGTGTTGTCATTTTATTGTTGAATTGTAAGAGCTTTTCATATATTCTAGATATTAGACCCTTATTTGCTAATATTTTCTTCTATCCTGTGGGTTTTTTTAAAAGACTTAATTTTTTTAGAGCAGTTGTAGGTTCACAGCAAATTTGAGAGAAAGGTGCAGAGATTTCTTATATACCCCCTGCCTCTGCACTTAAATAGCCTAACACATTTTCAACATCCCCCACCACAGTGGTACTTTGGTTGCAATTGATGAATCTACATTGACACACCATAGTCACCCAAACCTCATAGTTCACCTTAGAGTTCATTCTTGATGTAAATTCTGTGGGTTTGGAAAAATGTATAATTATACCTGTCCATCATTATAGTATCATACAGAGTATTTCTACTGCCCTAAAAATCCTTTTTGCTCAGTACCCCTGCCTGCAACCTCTAACTGATCTTTTTTATTGTTTCCATAGTTTTGCCTTTTCCAGAATGTCATATAGTTGGAGTCACACAGCATGTAACCTTTTCAGATTGGCTTCTTTTGCTTAGTAGTAAGCATTTAAGGTTCCTCCATGTCTTTTCATGGCTTTGATAGCCCATTTCTTTTTAGCAATGAATAATACTGTGTTATCTAGATGTACCACAGTTTGTTTATCCATTCACTTACCGAAGGACATCTTTGTTGCTTCCAGAGTTTTGGCAATTATGAATAAAGCTCCTGTGAATATCTGTGTGGGTTTTTGCATGAACATAAGTTTTTATCTCTAGGTAAATACCAAGGAATGTGATTGCTAGGTTATATGGTAAAAACATACATGGTTTTGTAAGAAACCATTCAACTGTCTTTCAAAGAGGCTATATACTGTTGTGCATTCTCATTAGCAGTGAATGAGAGAGTTCTTGTTGCTCCCCATTCTCACCAGCATTTGATGTTGTCACTCACTGTTCTAGAGTTTGGCCATTCTAATAGCTATGTAGTGGTATATCTTTGTTGTTTTAATTTGCAATTCCCTGGTGACATATGATGTGGAGCTTCTTTCATATGCTCATGTGCTGTATGTGTATGTTTAGTGAGGTGTCTGTTAGGTCCTTGACCTGTTGTTTAATCAGGGTTAAAATGCTTATCAGTTGTGTCTTTTGTAAATATTTTTGGTGGGCTTTGGCTACTTCTACCCATTTCTTTTTTGAGGTATAATTGACATAATATTGTTTCAAGTGTACAACATAGTCACTTGAATTGTATAAATTGCAAAATGATCATCACACTAAGTCTAGTTAACATCATCACCACATGTAATTGTATTTTTTTCCTTGTGAGAATTTTTAAGATCTACTCTTTTAGCAACTCTCAAATATACAGTACAGTATTGTTAACTGTAGTCACCATGCTATACATTATATCCAATGACTTACTTATTTTAAAACTGTAAGTTTGCACCTTTTGACCCCCTTCACCCATTTTGTCCACTGCCCACCTCCACCTCTGACAACCACCAATCTGTTCTCTATGAGTTTGTTTCCACCTCCCCCAGATTCCACACGTAAGTGAGATCATATGGTATTTGTCTTCTTCGGTCTGACTTACTTCACTTAGCATAATGCCCTCAAGGTCCATCCATGGTGTCCCAAGTGACAAGATTTCCTCTTTTTTTATGGCTGAATTACATTCCATTGTACATATATACCATATTTTCTTTCCCTTTTTTTGAACCATATTTGATGTACAGTGTATTAGTTTCAGGTGTACAGCAGTGATTAAACAATTCTGTACGTGATAAAGTGTAGTTACCCTCTCCATCTGTCACCATACAATGTTATTACAGTATTACTGACTATATTCCCAATGCTATACTTTTCATTCCTGTGACTTACCAGTTTTATGACTGGAAGTTTGTAACTCTGAATCCTCTTCACCTATTTCACACATCTCCCCAAACTCCTCCCCTCTGGCAAACATGAGTTTGTTCTTTGTACTTACAGTTCTGTCTCTGTTTTCTTCATGCATTTGTTTTTTACATTCCACATATAAGTGAAATTATACGGTTTTTGCCTTCCCTGACG